AAATTACCGCCATTAAAAACTTCGTCGACAAAAACTTAGACAAGATGGTGAGAAAGGTTCTTCTCTCTTGGACGCGAGAGATCCCACGAGAGAGAAGCATGTTCTAACATGACGAAACTCGGTGTAAATTCGCTGAACAAACTTTGATTGGTTTATTTTAAATATGCGAACTTTATCATTATTGCCCACACTAGATAACGTTACGATGTTAAATTTAATTGGATGGTGGCGCCCCTAGATTTAAAAAAACACGGTATAGTGTGAAGTAGGTAGATAGATGGATAGATGGATAGATAGATAGATCGATATATAATATATATGTATATATATATATATAGTTAGATAGATAGAACGATATATATATATAAATATAAATATATAGTTAGATAGATAGATAGATAGATAGATAGATAGATGGATAAATGGGTAGCTAGATAGATGGATAGATAGATGGATGGATAGATGCACACATGGATAGATGGATGGGTAGATAGGTAGATCGATATATAATATATATGTATATATATATATATATAATATAGTTAGATAGATAGATCGATATATAATATATATATATAGTTAGATAGATAGATAGGTGAATGGGTAACTAGATAGATGTATAGATAGATAGATGGATCGGATAGATAGATAGATAGGTGGAGAGATGGATAGATGAATAAACAGATGGACAGATGGATAGATGGATTCGAACCCAGTTTTTATAGATGGACGGCAAGCGACCTAACCACTATGCTGTCCACACCTTCTCGTACAAACCCGTCGTTTTACATTGATACATACAAAGTACATTACGGACGCGACAATTCCTCTCCCTATCTATGCGGTGGTGATACTGTAGCCCCTAACTAGAAAACAGCAGCGAAGAAGGTAGAATAACACTGATGTACTTAGCTAATAAAACATTTATTTTCCACAAAATCCGATAAACATTTCTCTATGTTCATTATAAGACTTGCAAAACTGGAAAACTGGCATTTTTGTAATTATTTTCAGGTATTTCGCCGCATTTTCTAAAATGAGTAATATTATATTGACATGCCAGTCTGGTTATCATCTGTTGATTTTGTCCATTCTGTACTATTTCAATCAGACTTTCAATATTCCGAAACATTTTTCCGTTTATAAATTAATGCAGGTTACACAAAAACCTACAGAGACATACAGCGTATATATATATACATATACATATATATATATATATCACTATCAATTTAATTCTCAAATGAAAAGCACAGTTTTTCTTATGACAAAACACGCCGCTAAGACGAACTCTGCACGCGACAAGAGCAGAAATGCGACTGCGGCAAACTATAAAAGTTGTTAGCAATGAACACCTGTTTGAGTGAATCATTGGATTTTACGCATTGAGAAAATATGCCACACCACTTGGTATTGCAGTGTATAATCCCGTACAGTCGTACACAATTCATTATGACATAATACAATGTTCCCGCGAAATCCTAACGCACGGGTATATTGAAATTATAACACACAGATTTGATCAGGAGTGTCACAATATAGATATAGTAGTATCAGGAGTGAATCATAATAGATTCATTATAGAATAATATTCTATTATTATTCACTCCTGGTAGTATATATAATACTAGTCTATATTACGACACTTCTGATTTTATTACATCATACGCAGCCATTCTGGAGCACTTTTCACTCGAGACTGGTAAATGCAGTTCTTTCACTGTACGCACGTATTAGGATGTTAGATGATACATTGTATTATGCTGGTGACATGATACACTATAAACATGAGACTGCACTAGGGGTGCAACTGGTATTGCGGTTAGAAGTGAAGCAGCCTTTGACAGACGTCCCCTACTATTACAGTGTGACTTAGTCTTAGGTGTACAAAAATATCTAAGTTGTCACTCCTATCGGATGGTACTAATAACTATTCATACATACACAGTGTGTGCGTTTATTTGTGTGTGTGTGAGTGTGTGTGTGTGTGTGTGTGTGTGTGTGTGTGTGTGTGTGTGTGTGTGTGTGTGTGTGTGTGTGTGTGTGTGTGTGTGTGTGTGTGTGTGTGTGTGTGTGTGTG